GAAAATGAAGACCAGGGACCTGGGGGAGTGTTTCTGCAGCTGTCAGCCCAACTGAACAAACACAGGAGAAATTGAGTCAAATGGCTCCATCCCACCCATTTTATTTATTCTCGCTGTCACCTGGCCCTGTGGGAATCACCCCCGCAGCTGTGGCCAGGGGACACCGCACGTGTCCTGGAGCTGGTCCCAGGGATGGAGCTGCTGCTGTGACAGTCACCCGAGCGCTACCGGTGTGGAAGAGGTGACTTCTAGAAACCAATTTATTCTACTTTTGGTACCATGAGGCTGGGAAGTTCACACCAGCAGTCTCCTTGGGGAGATGTCCCTCCAGAGGTGACCCTTCGGCTGGCTGGGTTGGTCCAGCGTGTCCCCAGCTCCATCCCATCCTGCCAGGACCAACACACGGGTCACATCATCCTCCTTCCTGCACACGAGCATCAGCAGTTCCTTCTGCAACTGGAAAGCAAGCACAGCATTGAAGACCCACCTGCACCCGCTCATGGAAACGATGTCGAAAAAGAAAAACATGCTTTAATACAACCTTACAAGGGATTTGCAGCCTTCTCGGAGCGCAAGGTGGGAGGAAGGCTTTGCAGCCCTGGCTGTCGGGGCTGGTCCTGACAGCCAGCCCACACGTCTCACGTACAGTTCCCTTTCCATGCCAAAGGCAAAATCGTGTTTAATGTCATGTTAGCTTATTTTTTTAACTTGATACGTCCCAGTGAGGACACAGTTCAACTGTTGCAGTGAGCGTTGGTGAAATAACACGGATTTGCGCAGGGGACCCAGGAGGCTTTGCTTCCCCTCTTGCTGCCACCTGGTGCTGTGTGAGCAGGATGGGGTACAGCCCTCCTGGGGCTTTCTGTTTATTTTTTTTAAAGATTGATCCATAGCAGGGTGTTCCTGAAGGATGGATGAATCAGATCCAGGATTTGGGAATTTAGTTGGTTTAAATATTGACTCAAAGTCTCTGTACAACGAGCTGGTGGGAGATGATGCTCGTGTCTTGTAACGACATGCTGCTTTCTTCTCCGGGCTTGGAGATTGATCCAAAAACCAGTCTGAACCTCAGGAACAACCAGGGAGAAAATATGCCTGAAATGTTAAGTCTGGCAAGTCTCTGAGGACATCTCCGCTCTCCTTGCATGAAGCAAGAGCTGGTTGTGGACATAAACATCCCAACCGGATCGCTGCAACGCTGGGTAGTGCCTGTTCGCATCACCTCTGCGCAGCTTCAGCAGGGGGGGAATAAACCTGGGCTGCCTTAGGCACAAAACTGCCCTTACAGGTGAGCCTGGAAGGGTCGTTCTTGGTGAAGTGTTATTTCATTGGATGTTTACTCGGCAAAATTGCCGTTTCTGGCAGTAAAAAAATCTGTAAACAGAGTTCTTCCATTTCAAAAACACTTGTAAAAAAAATTGTTGAAATGGGATAAAAGTCTTCTGCCCCACCCCCCAGGACTTTTTGTTTCCAAATTTACATGACACTACGACTGTTCCTTTAATTTGAACTTCTAACAAAGTTTTGATTCAAAGTTGTTGTTTTTTTTCTTACAGCTATTATGTTTACAGAAACATCTTGATTTGGAACAGGGAAGAGTCTTAAGCTCTTTTTGAGGAACAAATGCAAAAGAATTGCTATGCAGGGAAACATTATTTCTCTCCCCGCCCTTCATGTACTTAAAGCCCATATTTAGCACATTAAGACCCTTTCATACCCCTTGGCCATGCAATAGTGTGGACAAGTGTAAAGGTGCAGTGGTGGTTATTCAGTAAGCACACATGTGCATGCATGTGCGTAAATCACGGAGAACTTTGGGTTTATTTGGGGAGTTTCAGTGATCCCCGTATTTCTCATGACGAGTTGCATACACATAGCTTCCTACCTGGGGACTTCTTTGGCTTCTCCTGAACTTTAGGAAAAAATCTAATCTGTCCCACATTTGCCGTCAATAACGAGCCTCTGCTAGCAGAGCGTATTCCCCACGCACACCAGTACTGAGACAGAGAGGAATTATTGAGGTCAACAGACAGTGACAAAAATGATGTAGAGCCAATCTCTGCAACTTCTTACAAGTGTTGCAGATGTCTTCCTTCCTTGTTGTCCATGACTTAATTACTTCCCTTAGAGCATCCTGGATTAAAACCTCTGTGTGTATGTATACACGTATTGTGTGTATGTATAAATACACGTATGTATGGTTTTATATAGATATTTCCGTATATATATGCATGGTTTTTAAATTATCATTTTTTATGTCTTCAGGTGGCCATAGGTGCGTGTGTGCTGCCTTGGGGATGGGTCCCTTGCCCATTAAGGGCAGCAGCCAAGTCCCCTCTGACTCTTCCTGAGCTGGTGGAAGGTCTGGCTGGGTTTGTTTCCCACGCCTGGCAGTGCTCTGCTGTCGTGGCAGGAAAGTTTGGATGATAAACGATTTACAGAAAGGGTTGCTTATCCCAAAATTCCCAAGCTGCAAAAATACTTGGAAACAAATGGCTGTGACCCATCATTTCCCATGTGTTTGTGTACTGTTGGGGATGATACCACTGTGACCTGCTAGGTCTTTGGATGTACAAAATAACATTAGTCCCTCAGGAAATCTGGGCCATTTATTTTTAATGAGTTTCTGTTTTCACCTCCCTCTAGGAAAACTGTTCTTATTCTTAAGGAATCTCTTGGTGTTTCCAAACATCTCCATGCCCTTGCAGGCTCAGGTACGAGGTGTTCAGTCCCAGGAGCACAGCAGCAATGGATGCTGCAGGTCATGGAAAAGCATCGCACGTTTCCCTTCCCTATAGCAAATCAATCATAGACCAAACCCTATCCATTAGCAGTTTGTTTTCCTCTTTTTCCTTCTGAAATAAGCCCCCAAGTTAATTTGTTAAGGATTTTTAAATACCCAAAAGCTATTTCCGACTCCTATTTGTTACAGGAAGAATTTCCAACTGGTTTCATTTTTCCTTTTGAGCTCTAAACTGATTCCCACTAGTAAAAACCGTTAGCAGTAAATTCTGGCAAGTTCCTCTGCAAAGACCATGTCCCTTGTGCAGTGTGCCCGCATGAAGGAGATGGCCAGGTGGGGGCAGCCCCTTGGTACCCGATTAATTCCTTTATTTATTGTTGGCTTGCAAAATATTTGACTTTCTTCCATAGGAAACGAGTGTCTTGTGGCTAGGCTTTTGAAAAACGTGTTCGGCAAGCCAGACAGTTAACGTTGTTCTTAGGGGGAGACGAGATCAGTTCGATAGGTTTAGCTGTATGCCTTAATGAAGATTTATCTAGCTCTGTTTGGCCACCAGCAGAGATAAAGTTCAGCGTAACTCCGTTGATGCAGATGGAGAGCATCCCATGTTGCATATACAGCCCTCCCCATCCAGCTTTGGCTCTTGTATCTGCGAGGGAAGAGTTTTAAAAGAGTACTTGCCTGCACGTGTTGGGAGAAAACAGTAGCTGAGAAGAGGAAAAAGGCAACGAATTCCAAGGAGATTATAATTGGTACATGATTGAAATCCCATATTAAAATAATTTCCTGACCGCTTCTTATTTGAGACTTAGTTTTGACTTCTCTACAAAAGGGCTTTTGTGGGTAGCTTGGCATAAGTGAGTTAATAAATCAGGTTTATGATTCTCAGTTAATAAATTGGCATAGAGCCATTGACTTCTGTATTCATAAGAAATTAAACCAAGGAAAGCGAACTACGAGCCTGGGGGAGTTTTAGCACTAAAGAAAATAGACTTCTGGGCATGGAGGGTGAGTTTGAGGTTGCCTCCTTCCCTCCAGGCTTGCCGGGGGCTTGGCTGAGATTTTGTGTGGTGCTGACTACGTTAATCTGACAAATGCAGGTTAACGGGCTAATTCCCGGCAGCAGGCGCTGCCTGTCCTTACTTGCTTTCAGTCCTCATGCTTAGGCTTTCCTTGGGTTTTGTTATTTAACTTTTCAATGTTTTAAATTTAAAAAAAATAAATTAAAACCTTGAAAAGGCATTAACTAGAAAAACAATTCTTGTTCTATATTCTTGAATAATATAAGACGAACCAAGCTGATTTTTTTTTTCCCTCTTCTATTTTAATTTTTCCCACATTTTTTCTTTTTTAATTGTGATTTGTTTCTGGGGTTGATCAGGCAGGAAATGGAGCGTGAAGAAGCCCCAAATCAGGGAGCTGTGGGTTTCCTCACCAACGGGAGTGAAATGTGGATTGCATTAGATGAGGGGCTCAGCGTTCACCTCTGCGCAGCACCAGCCTGGGCGAGCGGTGGGAAAGCTGCAGAAATTGGTGTGGCAGTCAGCAAAGACCCCTGCACCCCAGGAGAATTAATATAGGAGGATTTTTTTTTTTTCTACTGACGTTAATCCCAGCTTCAGACTGTGGCACTGGTACCTAAAGCCTATTTTAGATGCAATGGGTTTTTCCCAGGCACCACGCATCAGCAAAACCCTCGAGCAGGGGCTGCGCAGAGGTGACGCAGGACCGCGGGGTTGTGTGATGTGTTTTGGGGTCAGGGAGGGATGGGGACCAAGTGACAGTGACATTTGGGATCTGTGGCAGCTGTAGCAACATCCTTGCCAGGTGCCCCCAGCACTGCACTGCTCCTTTGGCTTTTGCAAGTACATCCCCAGCTTCTCTTGCATAATGTGAAGAAAAATAAGCTCTGTGGTGAAAACACACTTTTTGCTCAAAAAAATTGTAGCTGTGTCCATCTAACGTGGGCGATGCCTTGTGATGTGCCAAGGTCTTGTGGGGGGAGAGACAACAGTCACACGGGGGAAAAGGTGGGAGAAGAGTGGGTTTACACCCCCTATGAGTAATCCCATGCCAGCAGCACAGGTGAGATGGTCCCCTGATGGGAGGATGGGGATGGCGTTAAGTGCATCTGGAAAGTAATGAACTGTTCTGATTTCTGTTCCTGCTATGTACTGTTTTATCAGATTATACTTTTTCTTTGTAATTAAGTGACCTTTTTTTTTTTCTTTGTGTTTTTTTCTTTTGTTTTCCAGGACCTGCAGTAAGTATCGTGGATTTTACTGTTGGATCAACAAAGTTAAGGTTTCCCCTTCACCCCTCCCCTGCCTGTCAGTGCCGTTGCAAAAGCACAGCGTTTTTTGGTAGAGGTGTGTCTGGAAGTAAAATTGGTACCAGATGCTGCTGTATTTTTTTTTTTCCATGACGGCAGACAAATAGAGGGGGGTAAAAAAAGTTTTAAAATGTTTAGCTTGCTGCCTTGAGGGACTTCCAGTAATTTTAAACCCAGAAAATATTCAGTGAAAAAGAGTTTTCCCTTTAAAGAGTTCTTTAGTCCGCTTCCATTTAGCAGAAATAACGCTGTACTAATATGTGACCATGTCGGGGGTTTATTGGTTCTAAAGCTCTGTCTTGCTTTTCTTATCTGGTGTGTTTCCATCATTTAATACGGGTTTGGTAGCCGCACAAGGGGGGCTAGAGGGAAAGTCATAGCTTGCTTCCTTCTCTTTGAAGTCTTGGGGAGAATAACAAGAATTCCTATCCATACAACCAGAAAAATTTGTTGTTTGAAGGGGTAATAGCTGAGAATGTGTCAACTCCTCTTTCCAAATGTTCAGACGTGCCTTTGGCTGTGCCACCGCCACGTCCACATCTGATGTTCTCCTGCTGGTTTGGGAGTGAGAATCCGGCATTTCCTTTGTGCCCTCCAAGTTGCTGAGGGATTGTTGAAAAGAAATGATTTGCATGAGGTGCTTCTGTTTATTTCTACCTTTCTTCCCCCAAAGCTGGAGGAGGAGGAGGAGAGGCTGGGGCTGTTGGCAGCCGCACATTTCCTTCTCCATCCTTGCACTAACAGAGATGTTTCTTCACGTCATTCTCTTCCTATAGAGCCTCACTGAGCTGAAAAGGAATCGTTTCAGGAAAAATAAATTTGGTAGCTATTCCTGGGCTAATGAATTTCCAGTTCTGTGGAGCTGTTTCAAAGCCAAAGGGTGATAAGGAAACGCCCGTGGGGCGTGGGGGCTGTCCCAGCGCCGCAGCTTTGGTTCTCGTGGGGTCGACAGCGCTGCCTGTGGGTTCAGTTAAGAGCTTTCAGCCCTTTGAATTTTTGCTTCTGACGTAAAGATTTAAGAGGAGTTTGAGCAAAATTATTATTTGGCTAAGTCTTGAATGAGCAAATTGGGAAAATTTAAGACCTAACAGCTTTGGCTTGACCATTCATCGAGGAATTCTGAATGCTTTTGCTTTAAAAACTGTGCCCAGCGTCAGCAATAAATCCAAGACACTGGCTCGAGAAATGCAAACAAATGGATTTCCCTTGTTAGTTTGTGTTTAGAAATGTAGTCTGTCAATAAATTAATTTTCCTGTAAATATTCTGTAATTAACGACCGCAACGCAGCCTCTCCATCCCACACAATGAAAGCGACTCAGTGGGTTTTGGAAATATCAGTGAGCTGGGCGCTGGCTGCGGGAGCAGCGTTGGGAGGTGAACTCCCACGTGTGTGGCCAGAGCTCGACGCCGCTGCCCGGCAGTTCACCTGCTTCACCAAATCCTGCATCGCGCTCACAGCATCGGGCAGGATCCCGGGGTCGTGGAGAGCATCTGCTGAGGCTAAGCACAGGCGTGTGCGGCTGGGGAGCCCTTTTGCGTGCAAGAGCCCATCCACATAGGGCTTCTGCCTGGGGATTTTTTTTTTTTCTCTCTTTGTGTTTTTCACACAGTTTGGCCTAATTATTTAAAAAAAATATATATATACATTTTCTTGCTCAGTGGCAGGTTACAAATGAAGAGAGCGCTGCCTATCTAAAACTCCATATATACATCTTTTGACATTTTCCTCTTGATTAGAGCACTTTGGCTTATTAAAAATGGATTTATTTAACCCTTTCGGCTCTGCTCCTGCTCAGAGGCTGTTATCAGCCCACCCGCAGCCGGCTGGGTTACCCTTCCTCACGTGTGCTGTCTGTTCACTTTTATTGTACGCGATTCGGCACAGGCAACATATGGCGCACTATTAATTTTTCTTTGTCTCTCATTGGTTTCATTTCCTGGTTCCCACGGCACTATTGAATTGCAAAGGGAGCACAGGGGAGATTTAACAGAAATAAGACTTTTTTTTTTTTCTCCCCTTGCCCTTCTTTAAAAGACAACTCCTGGTTTAGTTCATTAAAAAAAAAAAAAAATCCTTCATTTTTAGTGTAAGCAGCATTTGCCAGAGAGTTCTTTAAACATAATATATAATAAAAGTCCTAGAACCCACAGAACCACAATATTATTTTATTTCAACAGTACTGTATTTAACTCTATTAGTTTCTTCTGTTTCTTGATTTTGGCCATAAGGAATCGATTATATCTTACATGTACAGCATCGCACGCTGCTAAAACTCTATCCTCAACTCTGTTGTTCCCTAGTAGCAGTTGTTCTGGTATTTTATTTTTTGGCTGTCCCAAGCTGGTTGTGTATATGAAATGATGAGAATTTGTGGTGCAGGATTTGTGGCTGTTGGATGATGGATCGTCCTGTCTGTCAGGAAGGGCTATTCTGCTCAGATGTGCTGTAAAACCCCTGTTTCGGAGGGTATTAAAATCACATGCTGGGTAGGAAATTTCTCCAATTGAAGGATAGACTCACCACAGATTGTAATTAAACATTTACAGTCCCAGATATTAACAGACACTTGATGTATTAGCACGCTGGCTGGGGAGCTCACCAAGTGTTTCCTATTTATCTGTGTGCGCTCCAGTGCCATACGTCTCCATAAAAATCTCACCGTACGTTTTCTCCCAAGACTGTAATTTGTTAAACAGGCGGTTGCTGAAGTCAGTGGTGTTTCTGGGTAAATCAATAGGGCTGCAGGAGGCATTAAAAGCTGTAGGGGTATTTAGGAAGATGGGGAGAACCACCGTACATGGTATGAAGGGAGGCTGCCAGAGCTATTCCATGCTGTAAGAAATGTATGAATCCGCCTGTCTCTCCACAGCATGCTGACATAACCTATGTTTATGGTAGCAGATGACATTGCTGTACCAGATCCACGCTTTGCTGCCTACTTGTGTACCAGCTAATACTTAACAGCTCCTTCCTGGGGAATCTGTACGTCTGGCTTGCAGCAGGCTCCTCTGCTGGAGCTGACGGCGTGATTAACGGCAGCTCGGGCTGTAAACGCCTTTGGGAACCCCCCCTTGAGGAGAGCAGAAAAGGTGAAATATCCTGAATGGGTCGTGGTTTATTCCGCTGATCTGGCAGGTGTTACTAGTAATGTCAATCAGGGTTTTCCCTGTAGCATCAGCTTTTCTTTCTATTTATTGCAAATGAAAGCAAAGCTTAGAGGTGAGCTGGCAGAAGTGCATCCTGCAAGGAAATGAATGGGGAAACCTTCTCTGAATCAAGTGCTGGGACAGGAGGTGTCCCTGCCCAAGGCAGGGGGTTGGAATTGGATGATCTCTAAGGTCCCTTCCAACCCAAACCATTCTGTGATTCTGTGAGGTTGAAGCTCGGCGATGGCTGCAGGGCAGAGGGGTTGTCCTGGCCGCTGGACTGGCAGCACCGCAGCATCCCCAGCCTCTCCCCAGACCCTGAGTGTTCCCGTACCTCTTGGTACCCACATCCCAGGGCAGGCTGGCGGCCAGGATCCCGTGTGTATCCTGCACATCCACGGCTTCGGGGGCAGCAGGGACCGAGTGTGGGCAGCAGGGACGGGGGCGAGTTGGCAAAAGCCTCGGTAAGTAGCTAAGGGGAAGCATGAGATCAAAATCTGGGGGAAATATGCCATAGGTATGACCTTTCTGATAGGAAAATTGCCCCGAGAGGTTCCTCTGGAGAGAGTTTAGTCCCGGGGCCAGCTGGGGAGCCGATGGGGCGTCTCCTGCCGGCTGCTATGTGTTGTCGCGCTGCTACGGATGCATTGACTGACTTGTTGTCTCGCTTGTTCCCCCACCACAGGGGCAGTCAGGACGCGATGGTTACCCGGTAACTCTGCTATTCTTTGTATTTTTTATTCTCTTCTAATCTGCGCTCCGTGGTTCTCTCCATCTTTTCCATGACACTTGATTTTCTTTGCCTGTCTTGGTCTCTTTTTTTTTTTTTTTCTTCTTCTTTTCTCTTTCATCATTAGTGATAGCTTTTGAGGGATTTAGCCCTAAAACTCAGGAGCTTGTGCAATATATATTCTCCATTAATGTTTGTAGGGGTGAAATACTTGAGCCCTTTCCTGGTATTATTCCCACTCTGGCCTAAGAGTTCCCTGGAATGCAAAGTTAGGGAAGGCTTTGGGGTTTGTCCCACTCACAGCTCTAGTTGGCCAAATTTGGGGACACTGGTGACAGAGCTTCAGGTATTAAGATAGGTCCTCATTTGCCCATCTCCGAAATTTTTTTCCCTTGGAGCAGAAGTGTCCTGTTGGCATGGAGAGATTTAGCAGAGGCTCGGAGGAGGAAGGGTAATTCGGGATGCGCTGCCCTTCCCGTGCCTGTGAGCACCACGGAAAGGTCTCTGTTAGAGAGGTGTCTTCTGGGGAGAAATAAACTGGTAATTCAGGGCTGTTAAAGGCTCCGAGCCACGTTGCGCGGGAGGAGGGACCCGGTTCTGGCCGGACCCCGAAGCACAGCCAGTGGCTGGCTCCCTTGGTCCACGTTAACGTGAACAGCCATGGTGCTGCGGCCCCGAGGGGCTCAGTGACCCCTCATGCAGCGACTCAGTGTAACGGGTTGGTAAAAATCCTTGTGTAGATCCTCTGTGTTCATAGCGCGTTTCCAGCTCTGCTCTTGGTTTTTGAATGGGTGCGGAGAGTCCTGCACTGCCTGATGCTCTCGATGGGGCTTCTTGGCTCCGCTGTTCCATTCGTGAGGTAAAGAAAAGCAGTTAGCCGCCTCCTTCCTGTGGTTAATACCTTTTTCTTTTTTTTTTTTTTTTTTTTTTTTTTTTTTCTTTTTTTTTCTTTTTTTTTTTTCTTTTTTTTCTCTTTTTGTCCCCCTGAAGGAGTGTGTTAGGAAAACTCACTCCTTGTCTCTGCCACCTTGTGCCCTGGCCCAGTTCCCCCCTGAATGCCAATAAACCACTGAAACTTCAATTGAATTTTCTGTGTGTGATGGACTGGGAGCTCAAGGGAGGAGGATTGGAAGCGGAATACAGAGCTGTTTTCAGTTCTCATTTCCCCTGGACCCCTGTGAGCCTCCCTGGGGAAGACAACAGCATTTCCCAGAAGGAGAGAGGTCTGAGATTGGGTTAACTTTGCAGAACACGCCTGGGCTGCCCTTGCATCCATAACACAAAAGCACTCAGGGCTCCACCAATTGCTTTTAATAAATTATCAGGAGGGAATGGTGGGGAAGGCTGTGAATGACCAGGGCTGCTGATTTCCAGGGCAGGGATCCCGGGGCAGGCACAGCGCGGTGGTTTGTCTCCCTCAGGCGGTACCTGCCCGCAGCGGGATGTGGCTGACCGCTTTTGGCAGTGCCTGTGGTCGGTTTACCCCCTTCTTCTCTGTTGGTCATATTTTGATAAAGCTTATGCACGTGGTTTAGTTACAGAGCTCTGAAAACTAGCAAGGCTGGGAGGAAATTGTGATTTTTCCCTCGGACAGAGCATCACCCCCAGCACCATGCTCATCCCAGCTCCCAGCAACGGGTTTTGGTGCTGCTCCAGCTCTTCTGGATGGTGTCAGGGACTGGTAGTCCAGCTCTGCTGTCCCATCTGCACTGGGAAAATGGCATTAATGCCACTGAAAAGTTTTTTTTTTTCCTCTTCTCTCCTTCCTCCCTGGGACCTGCAGCCCAGGCAGGCTGGGTGGCTGCTCTTATTCCTGAATTTGCAAAATTGGCTGAGCCAAACCCAGCAAACACTGAATTCCTGCATCTGCATGGCTGTGACCGTGCTAATTAGCTTCATCTAATAAGGATGTGGCTATAATTGTATTTCCAAAGCAATATGTATACCTGAAGAAGGAGGAAACTAAACATAAAGCAGGCTTGAGAGCCTCATTCAGCAGAAGCATATGGTCAGGCTTTACATCCAGTTGCATACTCAAATAGATTTAATTAAATAATTCCTTTCAGGGTGATCAGATAAACTCCAGGCTGTTTCAGGAGGTGGATGTGGTGCAAATGCAGAAGTAGCAAGTGGATGTTAGATGGTGTTCGGTGTCAGAGAGAGGTATGGTACACGTGCGTCCCTTGGCGAGCGGTGCTGTGAGTTTATCTGTGAGCTGCGGGTGTGTGACTGAGCTGCAGGCAATGGGAGCTTTAAAGGGGTGAAAGTGAACCAGAGCTCTGGAGATGGGGCCCAAAGAGAAAACAGCTTTTGTAAGATGCTTTCAATATTTTGATACTTAACATGCTAAGGGGAGGGGTTTGTGCCCTACAATAAAACTTTACAGCAAGAACAGTTTCTTCTTTATGAAGTTCTGTAGGTTCATTATTTTTTAAACCCCAGGGAAGATTTAGTTTCTGGTTTTAGGACTATGGCATATCCTACTACCATTACTGTAACAGATTTGAAGAATGTTGGGTTTTGTTGCTTTTCTGGTCTTGTTTGACTTGGCTTTGACATCCCGTTGAACATGGATCACAGCATGTACCTCAGCCTGAATGTCAGTGTAGGTTCCTTTGGGATGCGTGGGTCTGTCTTCTCTCCCCTTTCCCCTGTAACTTTGGAACTTGGCCCATTTCAGCCAAATTTGGCAGAAGGACAAAGACTGTCCAGATAATTAATTTAATGTGAATTTTTGATATCAGGGGCAGGTTAAGGGAAAAAAACATTTTTGATATCCATACACGTGCCTTTGCCATATCAGAGATTTCCTGAAGATTGTCCTGTCTGAGATTTTCTTTAACTACAGTGCTGGGGAGGCTTTTAAAATGTTTTTGACCCCCCAGCCAATATTCTAATCCATTTAGCTTCTGCAGGGGCTTGCACACAGATCATGTGTGTGTGTGCTCTCTGGAGAACTGGGAGCAGAGAAAGGCAAAAGATCTATTTTGTGTCCAAAACACCTGTGATTTTTTTCTTTCTCTTTTTTTTTTCTTTTTTCTCTCATCTTGGCTGTGTAATTTGCACATAGTAATGGTGGCAGTGATCATCCTGGATTTTGGGGTGAAAATCTGCTTGGTCTGAGAGCCTGCCTTGCACCTCCTGAGCTTGCAAGAATGCAAAAGAAGATGCCAGGGAGGGGGAGGATTTTATTGTTTTTGGTGCAAAAACACTGATTTTTCAAAGTCTATTTTAGAGAAAATGACCTAAAACAACTTCTGGGGGGAAGCAGAGCCCTTTCCCCCAAAGGTGGAGCAGAGCCAGCAGGTTGCTTTTCTCATCTGGTATCTTCTGTGTGGTCCTTCTCGCAGGACATCGTGATGTTCCTCCCGGTCTTGGTGGTGGTGGTGGGCTGGAGGTGTAGGTGTGTAGGGATGGTGTCCTGGGGTGAACTGAAAACTACCAGATAAATGATGCCTTTATACGGAAATCCCAGAATAACTGGTCATGACAGGTTGATTACAGGGCTCCACTGATTCATTAGACACGCAGTGATCTCTAAAGAAAACATAAGTGATAAAAATGCTGTAAAATGAGAAGTTCAGAAGAGAAAATGACAGTTTTCTAGACGAGATCCTGAGCAGCCTGATCTACCTTTGGTTAGCCCTGCCTGGCGGTATCACTGTGTCTGCACCCCCCTGCCCAGGGACCCGCTGTGGGGATGATGGGGGAGCCCCAGTTGTCCTCGCTCGGGGTTTTGCACAAGTCCAAGCACTTGCTGAGGTTTCCCAGATGCCATGAAGGGTGTTGCTGCAGGACAGCCACCAGCCACTGCCAGTCTAACCGCATTGTTTCGCTCTGGTGCTTCCCCTCGCCAGTGTTTCTGAAGAGACGACAGCAGCTTTTAGATCAGATGGACGAGGGAAATTTGGATGACACCTTTACCCTTTGCCAAAAGACCACCCAGCCCACCCCTGAAACCAAAGCCCAGCCCCAAAGTTTGAGCTGGGCTTTGCGCGAGGGTGTGCTGGAGCAGAGGAAAAGCAGATGTGCAGCCGCCGCGGTGATGGAAATGTGTTTCTCGTTGGGGAGAACCAGGCACCGGGGTTGGGATCCCTCGGGACGCGTCCTGAGCCATGCTCTCTGCGGCAAGGAGCATCCGCGGCGCGAAGCCGTTCCCCTCGCCTTGATGCGCTGTCAGTGCGTCAGCGTGTCGGGGGCATTTTCCCTCGTCAGGCTGGGAGGGGAGCGGAGGAGTTGGCTGTGCGGAGGGCTGGGGCGGCGGGGCTTTGGGCTGCTTGCGTTAGCAGGGCGGGCAGCTGCGTCTGGGCAGGAGGAGAAACAGAGAAAATGAGGAGCAGATGGAGAGCCGAACTGCGAGCAGGCTTTGCCGCTGACCTTCCACACAGGCGGATCTTCCCATTCTGTAGCTGCTGAAGGGAGTCAGCATCTGGAGGGGAGAAGCAATGGTTGGGTGGTGCTTTTAGCAGCCTTGCCCCTGTCCCTGCCCCACATGGGGATGGTTCTATATTTGCCTTCAAAGTACTCAGCTGTCCTCCTACGTTCTATTTCTCCTCTTTCCCAGTGAGATGGGAACGTTTGCAGTTCCCCAGAACCTGTTCCCTTCCATCTTCCCATCTAGTGGAGAGGCCTTTTGAAGCGAAATTCTCTGTTTCTTGAGAGTTTCATCTGCCTGTGCTGCTCTTCCCTCCCTAAAATCAGTCGCTGCTACGTGACATCCCGAGTGGAGGGTTGTCACTTCAAGTGGGAAGAAACCAAAAGAATGAAGTTGATTAATGAGGGGAGTTACTTCATGTGCATGTCTTCATTAATAAAAAGCAGAGCAGGGAAGAGGCTTTTCAGGGGAAAAAAAAGTATGATATGAAACAGAGTTGTGTCCTATTTTATACATTTTCCTTAGAATATTAGCGTCTATTTTTAGTTGAGCAGAGTGTTATTCATTTCGGTCCTCCAGCATATAATGTTTGCCTTTTGAATTTTGT